AAATGCATAGTTGTGATGACTGCACAATAGCCTGAATGTACTCAATGTCACTGAACCATCCACTTTAAAACAGTAAAAGAATAAAATGGCTGTCAAATATTCTGCAGCAGAGACCAAACACAGGACCCAAATGAAGAACTACCGGTAGTTTAGAACTCCTAGAAACAATGAGATGATACTGAGGGTGGAGAGGAACTTAGACTCCAGCACTGGACTGGAAGTGTCAGGAGTTGGCTTCCAAAGGTGCTGTCACAAATCTAAGCTGCTGTGAATCTGTGATTAGATTCATTTTAATCGTTTCCCCGTTGTATAGGAAAAAGGCTGTTTCTGACTATAATTTTACAAAAATGCCAAAAAGTTTTAAAAATAATTTGTTGATTTGTGGTTAGTAAACCAGTACAATTTTTATGTTCACATCTATTATTTTAGTTTTTTTTCTTTTTTTTTTTTGGCTCTGCAACAAATTACTCCATAATTAGTGGCTCAAGTTAACTCAAATTTATTATCTTATATTTGGGGAGTTAGAAATCTGAAATCAGTTTTGCTGGGCTAAAATTAAGGTGTCAGTAGGGCTGTATTCCTTCTGGAAGTTCTAAGGAAGAATCTGTTTCTTTGCGCTTTGCAGTTTCTAGAGGCCTCCTTGGCTTGTGGCCCTGCGTCACTCCGACCTTTGCTTCCATCCTCACGTCTCTGTTCTCTGATTCGGACTCTCCTGCTTCTGTCTTTTCCTTTTAAGGACTCTGTGATTACAAGGGGTTTACCTGGATAGTCCAGGGTAACCTTCCAGTTTTAAAATCCTCTATTTAATCATATCTTCAGGATACCTTCTGCTATGTAAATTGACACACTTAGAAGTCCTGTGGATTAAGATGTGGACATTTTTGGGAGGAGACATTATTCTATCTACCACATTTAACAACTCCAAATATATTTTGAAATGAAATGGAAAGAGAGGTTAGAACATAAGTATTTTTCAGATTACCAAATTAATGCAAGTCTGTTTAAGCAAATCTAGAAACTTTAGAAAAGAAAAAATAAAACAGTACTATCCTTCATCCCAGTCTCCTTTTTAGATCCTACCTTCTATACTTAACATATAAGGAATTGTCATGTCATTAACTACCTTTTATACTCAGATCCTACCTTTTATACTTAACATATGATCCTACCTTTTATACTTAACATATGATAAGTATGTTTAGATCTTACCTTTTATACTTAACATATGATAGATCCTACCTTTTATATTTAACATACAATAAGGAACTGTCATGTCATTAACTACTGAGGTGTCTATTCTATTAAATGAGTTAAAAGATGAGAAAAGTTGGCAGGACTAATTTTTGGTTAAAATGGTAGAATCGGCAAGTGGATTTTAGTCTCAGTTTTAATATGTTTTTTCTTCTTTTAGGTATTTTATATCAGCAGATAGGTTTCTATGTGCCATATTTCCTTCCTGAAAGCTAAACTCACAACCTTTCAATTCCCACCTATATCAAATGCTCAAAGCAAATATCTATATTCCAAAATAATTCATTGAAGTTATCCGTATTTTACTCTGTGGTAACCTTCCCATCCTGTATTTCATTTTCAAATTACCAAGATTCTCACTTATGTGACTAGTACACTAAAATTAAAACACAAACACACTGCTTACATTCACTTTGGTCTGAGCAAAAAGACACGAAAGGTGAAACTTTTGTGAAATTTTACAAGTTCAATGGCTAACAAGCGTCTCGATCTTTAAAACAGTCAGTGAGGCTTAACTCAGTGTAAAACATCATTTATATCATAATCAAACTTCTTCATGTATGGAGACTTTAAACAACCTGAAACTACAAAGAATTATCTCCCCATCCTCCTCCTTTTTGATTCTTGAGTTAATTTAGTAGCTTTAACTAGAATGGATTAATTAGCTCCAAACAATGTAGCAATTGGACATTAAATTTAATGGGGTCAAAGGCTGGGGATTGGTTCCAAGGTAGGAGTCTTATATTTACATACAACCCAGCCTTAAAGGTGTGCCATTTGTAAAAATACAATTACAAATTTAATATCCATTATGCAAAGTGTTTGGGATCATAAGTGTTTCAAATTTTATTAATTTTGGATCTTTTCATATATATATAAAATGAGATTTATTGGGGATGGAACCCAAGTTGAAACAAAAAAATTCATGTATGCTTCATATACATTATGTCTCATGTACATAGCCTGAAGGTAATTATATACAATATTTTAAATAACTTTTTGCATGAAACACAGTTTGAACTACATTTTGACTGCAACCTGTCACATGAGGCTAAAAGGTGACATAAGTCTCATTTTTAAGTAAAAATGAATATTTTCTATTACATTCAAGACACAGTGCATAGAATGAGAAGGTTACTGCAGAATAAGGAATAACTATTATTCCTTGTTATTCTTGTACTGAGGTTGAATGTTAGTCTTAAACTATGGTAAGAAAAGCCCTTTTTCCTTCATTTGAGCCCAATGTCAGGTCAAATACATTAAAATAAACATAGTAACACAAGTCAGGGGCTTCCAGAGAGCTGCATCACAGTTTTGTGCATAAGATACACTTGAACACCAGAAAGAATAATGCTTGTGGATAAAAATGCAACACAAAACACATAGTTACTGGGCTGCATTTCACCTACTGACGCCCAGCTGGGCTCAGACTTCAAAATGTGACATCTTGCCCAAATTCTACAAAACTTCCCAGTCTTACAGGGTGATTTTCAAATCAATTAAGTTGGGTATTTCTTTAAGGGAAAACAAAATTCAGAACAGTGATTTGAATTCTCACTTTCAAAACAAGTTTCCAACTCATTAAACATCACCTTCAAAAACGTGATGCAAACATGATTTACTTATTGTCTATCAAATTAAGGCATTTCATTACCAATTAGTTTATCACGACCAACTATATTTTATTTTCTACCTTTCACAAATGGAAAAGGAACCATCAGACAGTTCTCAGCTCCTCAAACCACTGACAACAAAAATTGTGCCAGATATAAATATTTACATCGTGAAAAGTAAATATTGCCAAGATTCCAAACTCCAATGCATTTGAAAATTGGTTTGGATCAGGTATACTTTACTGAATTGGAAAGATACAAAATCATCTGTTTTAAAAAAAACCCCAAATCATAACATGTGAGTGATTTTTACCACTAGACTATCTCCCAATCTCTTCTTTCCCAATACATTTTAGGGAGAAGCTGTGTTGACTTTTTTTTTTGTTTGTTTCTTTCACATCAACATTTTTCCTTTAAGACATTCTGATGGAAAGTAAAAATTATATATCCATTGTTTGTGTTAGTTTGACACATTTTCCATCTCAATTCCAATCTATACTTTATCTAAAAACCCTTCAAATGCTTGCCATAACTCTCAGGCAAAGGATTCAGCTCCTGAACACTGCCTCAGGACCTGTCTTCTGCTGTCCTCTCCAGCCTACCATCTTGCAAGCCCCTCTTCGCTATCTGTGTTCAGCCTTGCTGGCTACCTTTCAGGTGAATTCTGGAACTCAGGCACCAAACCTCATTCTGAGTCTCGGGCTTTTTCCTCCCTGCTTTTCCTTTTGCCTAGAATGCAATTATCTCCTACATCACCCTCTCCAAGAAAGGATGACTGAATATTTATTCATAACTGCAATGTTCCCTTCTTAAACACTGACCAGTGAACTCACACGTGTTCATGACTTTAAATAAATAATTCACCTTTTAAAAGAGAAACGTACTTAGAAGTCTTGACAAGTTCCTTGCAGGATTTATAAAAATAAAACTGTAAATGGAACAATAATTAGGATAACATAGTTTTATATGGAAAAGGAGCAATAAACCAAATGACCTATATATGACCTTTCCACAAAAGTGCTTCTCAATTCATATTTAAAACAGTACACAAATACTGCATAACTAAATGGTGTGGGCCACATGCAATGTCTTTTAAAACCTGACTTGTGACCTGAGTCAAAGTCACTTACAGCTTTTGGATGAGTCATTAGGGGTGTGTGTGTCTGTGACAGTTACATGGTACAAGAAAATATATTTCAATATATCAGAAGGGGAAAAATTAACGTACAAACTTCATGGTATTTATACTGAACAGACTGTGCAAAGGAAGACAGAACAGAGCCCAATGAGTCCAAACCCTAAAGTATCAGCTGCTGGTATTAACAAAAGCTGTCAATAATTTTAACCTCAATTTTTTGCACACAAATTATTTTCCATTTGTCTTGAGTTAACAGCTAAATTACCTTTGAACACAACTTTCTGCGTGTGCATTTCTTTTCTACCCTTAACACGTACTCAACAGTAAAAGATAGCCAAGTAGACATGAACCAGCAAGAGAAATGGTAAGATTCCAGTGATGAGAAGACCCAATGGGCAACTAACTGTGCTCTTCCACAAATTAAGGAGGAACTCGTTATGGGGGGAGGAGAGCGAGGGAGGGATTCAGGTGTGAGAATCACAAAGCCCAGCTCAGCATTTCTGTGCAGGAGCTAGGATTCTTAGCAAGCAAGATGCCCCTAGGAAGATTAATTATTGATTTTTATATAAATCATCTAAGGTGATTTTTGTTTTTTTCCTCCCAAGATGATAAACGTCTGATTTTATTTTTGTTAATTGGTTTTCCCACTTCACTGAGGTTAAAAGAAGGCCTAGTAAAGCAGTTTCTTAGAGGAAAGATTTTCCCAGCATGATAGGCAGGGGTGGCCACTATCTTTCTGTCCTTTATGGGGGTTCCAAGGTTGTCTGATAAGACTTCAGGCAACGTCCAGGAGGTACAGGGTAATTAGAAGCACAAAAGTGTGGCTAGGGTGAAAAAGCACAACGTAGACATTTTTCTAATGGCGGCAGGTCTGAAGTCTGTAGTATTCCTAGGTGGGAGGACAAACTCATCACAGAGACTGAAGCCTTGAGGCTCAGCCTTCAGAATCAAGATGGCCCCATCTTCAGGTTAACCATGGAAGCAATATGGTGGCTTACCTTCCTGCCCCCCGTGTTGATGCGAAGGGGTGTCAGAAAGGGGTCGAAGATCATGTGACTGGTCTCTATGTTGACTGGCGACTGCCGTTTCCCCACAGAGCAAAGATTCCAAGCTGAGTTCACCAATCCCCAGAAAGAAGGAACTAGAAACAAAAAGAAATTGTAGAATTAGGCTGAGTAGCAGGTTGGGGAAACAACATAAACAAACAGAGCTATGTACAAAAGTGGTAAAATGGAAAAGAACCACCAAATCTTCCCACCCATGGAGATACTTGGGGGTTGCTACGGTATTTTCCTGGCCTGAATCTTGGTCCACTTCTCTAAGTCCTACCTTCATGATCTCTTGTCATCAGATTTTCTTGTTTGAGGCCTACTCATCCTGTAGTTTCTGTGTTGAGTGCAGCCATCATTACCACTTTAATGCTAACATCGTTGTTCAGGTCATATCATCTTTGCGATATGCCTGAGGTAGTACAAATATTCAGCAATTCCCTTGAGTTGATGCTCTGCTTTTCCTATCTGGCAAGAATGATGTGAAAATCAACCTTATCCTATTTAGAAGTTTTTCAAGGAAAGCGTCATTCAGTATACACAGTTTTTCTTTGGACTGTCAAGACTAAACTGAGGGAGTGACTTATTATATGAGCTCTCTAATCAGTGTCAGACAAGAGATTGGCAACTTGACTTCATCTTTGTTTAGTTCAACACTGTGTCATCAACCTAATGTACCTGTAGATAAAGAATTGGTGTTCATTTGATAGCTAGAAAAATGACATCGAGAGCTAAGCACAAATACCCAAAGGAAACCATCCACTCATTTTCAGTGTCACATTAAAACATCTATTAGAATAAATTTCTGTAGCAGTTTCCAGTTCTATTTCTATTTAAGAAAGTTTTCAGGGCAAGGGTGGGAAGCCAGCCTACTAATTTTATATCAGTGAAGATCAAAACTATACTTTCAGCCTTTCCCTGCCCCTCTCAGTACTTCCATTGAGTCTCTGGATCCATGTGTCCTTCAAATTCTCCTGAGATTATATGACCATTCATTCATTCACCCATAGTACACGCAGTGAATTCCTATTTTGCATCACACCCTGGGTTAGGGTGAATCTCGAGGAAGGCAGGTAAGCACAAGAATAACGAACACACTGGGGAGGTTCACTAGTGTCAGGTTGAGTATGTTACGAGACTCTGGATGAGGGGAAGCCAACCCTGCCATGGTAGAGGGGAGGCAGGGAGTGACTCCTGGAGAAGATGAGCCTAACAATCACATTAGCTTTCTTAAATGAATCTGTCCTCTCAGAAACTCAAGTTTAATTAAACTCAAATTGAATAAAGGCTTTAACTTACAGTAGCCATCATTCTTGCTTATAGCATAGATGAAGAAAACTAAGGCAAAAGAGGAGTTTGGCAGACACTTGCCAAAGATACTCAAATTCTATGACTCTCTTATTTGTTATAGGCAACTGTAACAGACATGGGAGGAGAACTAAAAATAAGTTCCTTGGCCTAGACAAACACTTCAACATCAAAATAAGATGGGTCTCATTTTAAAATATGACAAATATCTAATTTGGTTTCATCCATGCCCACAAGCCTCTGGTAGACCATTTCCTTTAGTTTAAAGAGTTTGAATTGGCTTTTCAGTCATTAATGACTTTCAAAATGGTAGCAATGGCCTGAGTTACAGAGGGAGAAAGAGAAGGAGGAGGAAGAGGAGAAATATTGACACATGTGCATGTGCTTCCTCAGCACTGTCATTTCTTATCATTGCTTAAAATATGTTATCATTATAAGTTATTCCACCTTTAGAAGGTACCATATCCTAGAAAGACTACAATATTTAAGAAAGTTCTTGCATTATGAATGTACTTATATTATAAATATAAACTTGTCTTTCCTAAACTACTCTTTTAAAAAAAACACTGACTTGATCTTGTATTTATTTATCCCTCAATCATCTCAAATTATGAAAATAAAACCTTCATTAGGGCATCTTCCTAGCAGTCTTTCTCAGTAACCCACACACAAGTTGCAAATGTGAGCATGCCAGGGATACAGTCATGGCACGTCCACAAGTGAACTGAGTGGCCCTTGGTAAGTCATGTGTCCCTTGGACCTGACTCATTCTTCATGGTTCCTGTGGTAGGCCGAATAACAGCTCCCCACCAATGATGTTTACATCTTAATACTCAGAACCTGTGAATATACTAGCTTAGATGGTAAAGGGTATTTTGCAGATGTAATTAAGGGTCTTGGGATGGAGAGATTATCTATGATTATCTGGGTGGGCCCAATGTAATCACAAAAGTCCTTACAAGAGAAAGGTAGGAGGGTCAGAGATATAGAGTAAAGATATATGGATGGAAACAGAGACCTGCCAGGAGAGAAGATAATACTCTGCTGACTTTGAAGATACAGGAAGGGGACATGAACCAAGGAATGCAGGTGGCCTCTAGAAGCTGGAAAAGGCAAGACAATGGATTCTCCACCTAGAGCCTCCTGCTGTAAGGAATACAGGCCTGCTGATACCATGATGTTTAACCCCTTGAGAATATATATATGCCTATATATACATACATATACATATACTTTTGACCTCCAGAAACAGAAGATAAATGTCTGCTGTTTTATGCTGTGCAGTTGTGATAATTTGTTATAGCACTAATAGAAAAGTAATACAGCACCTCTTTACCTTTAAAACTCTGTGAGACAATAACCTCTTTGACAATGAAGACATCTATGATGCTTGCGGGGCTCTCCCTAGAAGGCAGCTGCATAATTAAAGTAGTTACAGCTGGTGCACATTGCATTTCATCTACTCCCATGAAAAGCATTAACAAAAATAATTCCAAGTCCATAAATGGATTGTAAGACTGCTATTATGTGGCAACATGGGTGGGCAGCTGCTGCTGTACTTCACTAATAAATGTCATGCCCAAAAAGTACCCCCACAAAAACACAAACAGCAAAAAAACTTTATGCGAACATCTGCCTTCTCTTTTATTGGGCATGGAATTCTTTATGACAAACAGTTTCAGGGTTTTATATCCCCACTTCATGATCAAAGCCTGTGTCTCTGATGCTAATCACCTGCTCAGCCAATCAAGGAACAACGGAGAAACACTCTCCCCTGCCCAGCTGTGTCTCTCATTGGATCCAGTCCTGAACGGGTATCTAAGTTTATTTACCCCTGGATTGCTGATTTTAAATCAGCTATGAATTAATAGCTTTTCAGAAATAGAAGCCACCTTAGAGTTTGTCTGACTTAAATTCATTACATGGATTTAAGGCCATACAGGTAAGGAGTAAAGTCCTCCACTCTAGGTCACACAGCCAGGTAAAGGCGAGGAAGGACAGAGTAAAGAACAGAACTCAAGATTTCCAGTGCTACTGAGCCTCTGCTGCTCTAAACCCCTTCTTTTCCAGCAGGCTCTATACATGAGCAGATCATTGCAGGAAATTTCAGTTAATTGTTGCCAAGACCCCTGTAAGACTTTTGCCATCATTTCTCTTTTGGTAAATCAAGAGTAACGTTAGTGCCAATTTTCCAGTTAAAATAAATTTCAAGTGCAAAGGTTGGAATCAAACTGCTTTGAAAGTCAACTATTCTGAATACACTTAGGATTTTAAAGTAGCCATACAACCCATGGGGTAATATACACAGAATGGCCTGGGTGTGAAAATACTTCAATTCAGGCAATGTGTTTGGGTCCCATCTGCAGGCCTCTGAGGAGACCTGATGGGGATGATTGCACACAAAGAGCTGCTCCAGGGATAGTTTCTGGGGTCAGCTGCACCGAGTAAGGTTTTAGTGCAGATAAAAATGAGAAGTCTTTGCTGTTAGAAGCAGTGTTAAGTGTTGGGACAGTAATTAAGGTATTGAAGCTAGTCCAGGGAACTCAAGCGCCAAATGGACCAGACTAGGTCTGCAAATGTGGCGTAATCTAGATTCTCAGGAAATGGTTTAGAATGAAGGCTGTGAAAACAGGAGGACATGAAGTGCCCGTGCCTATTGGGGCATAGGAGTCAGATGGCTCACTTTACATGCAGAGCAAGAATGGGTGTATGAATGAAGGCTTCAGTATTTAGAGTGAGAAACTCGCCCTGTGGGTTTGCACAGAACTCACTTATATCCAAGGTTCTGATACTTAACTACCCTTCATAGTGTTATCCTTCAGGAGTAAAAGTGGCTTATATAATGATGTCACCTTTAGGAATAAAAGTGACCTTTAGGAGTAAAAGTGGCTTATATAATGCTGTGGCAGGCACTGCTTCTATTTCCAAGCTAAGAGAAATATTGTTGAATTCTTTCTCTTAGTTTCCATGGCTATCCTCCCAAATCAGATTTTTAAACTTTTATTTTTAAAGTGTCCATTATCATGGCTTATTAGCTAATGCTGTGTCTTTTGTTTACTTGATCAATACAACTTATTGTTGACAGAAAATGTAAATAAAGCAAAATAAAGAATCACTCTAATTAATGGACAACCAGTCTGATGATGTTTGAATTCCATCATCCCTGGCATCCTTGTTGTACAATCTTCTAATTTACATATAAACTAGAATACAAAACAGACCTGAATATTTTTGCAAATTAATTTTCACACAGCCTAAACCATGGAACTTAACTGCTGCATCACAGCGATGTGTTATCTTGCCAAAATATTTCCCAATGGCACTACTGCCATTCTTATCATAAATTACAAATCCCAAACGTTCTCTTGGCTCTGGGTCCAGTGAGTTATGAAAGATGCTCAGTGACTCTGTGATTTCAACTGCTTAAATCATGCGCCTTGGCAAACCCAAAGCAAAACTTCTCAGCTGCTTGTTCAGACCCATGAAATAAAAAAGCTCCAGCTGTTTAATAACACACCTTGGCAATGTCCAGACAAAAACAACAAAGTTTTCACCAAAAACAAATAGGTCAGAAGAGCAAGGAACCAGAGGAATCAAGTCCGATAAGGGAGTTAAAACTGGCCTTGATGACATCTTTGTCCTAGAGAAGGTGTTACAAAGTTAGATTGAGCTTTTAAGCATCTTCCTTATTCATTTGTCCTGAGCCAGCAGAATTTGCTGTTGTGGGCAGGATGTTAGGCACTTGGAATTAATTTATACAGCTTATGAGAATTTGCTAAGTCCT